AAGACTGCTCTAGACAGCGCAATGATCTGTTCAGTAAATGTACTGTTTAATGCGTCATTACCTGATTACGTCATCGCACCTTCCACAACATTGATTGCGAGCCAATTGACGGCCGTTATGTCTGGAAAAAGCGCTCGCGAACGCCAGATATCAACGCCTCGTAAATTATAGTTTCCTTGGCCTTCATCGCCGCATGGCTTGTGGAATGGTGCGATTTAAATGACGTCATCATGACATCATGGACGCCAAGGTGACTTTGAAACAATCGCCCCGATATACTTTTCCCCATTTTCACGGGTAGTCGACGCGCTGCATAATACCAATTATAATTATCATTAAACCACGATATCGCCGTTACGTGGCTCGCATGCTGAACGGCACAGCTGGTGATAATATACACGTTGAATCGCTAAAGCACACCATCCTGTTGCGTTGCTGTTTCCACGGGAGCTCCTTGCCTGTCATGTCATCTCGATTTTACGGTAAAATCTCGCATGGCCGAAATTAGCAAGGCGTCGGAACATTGGACAAAAAATCGTCGCGTAGGAATTTGCAGTGTGCGAGCTCGTGCAGGACATAAATTTGTCGTGGTACAGGTCATATGGGACAAACATTCGTATAGAGGAAAAAAAATGTCGAAGCAAAAGTTCGTCTTACAAGTGCATATGTGGCGAAAGTTTGTGGATGCCAAAAGGTCGTCTGGGACAAAAGTTTGCTCCCAACAAAGTTCGTCTAAAGCCAAAAATTTAATACAGGTTTGGTGGGGTGAAATTCGAAAATTGAGTAAAAAAGTGCGACTTTGGGTCGAAATATCAAACGATGTGCTAAGTATCGCACGATACGTATGAGACGAATTATGAGTCGGTTGCGGCCGACAAAAGTTCGGTTTGGCCAAGCTGGCAGACACATATGCCAGCTTATTGTTCAAACGGCGACATATTTCAAGCTTTAGGAAAATGTAGAAACCTGCGGAGCGTCAGAATGTATAACAACTTGCCAGGCCTCCGCCTTGCATGATGCTTTTCACAACATTCATGTTTTATATGCATCTAGTGGTCAAAGGGCCTACCTAGAAATATACCGGTTCAAAACAGAGTGTTATAGATTTAGAAGCGAACCTTAAACCATAGTTTGCCGGCCCTTTCCACTCTTTTTTGTTGGAATAGTTTTAAGGCCATAGATTCTGGACTCCAAACACCTTTGGAGGGCAGTCTACAGCCCTGGCGTGGACAGTACAAGGAAAGCTGTACATTGTGCACTAAGGCCCGCACAACACTGTGCAACTGTCAACTTCAACTCTCCCCGAATCATTGGCCGGGTCAGTTACGGAAAAACACCTGTAATATGCAATCGGTTGCAGTTTGAAGACTGCCTGTAATTGTGATTTGAATGGGTCCCGAATCGGAATGCATCCCGATCATGAAAAGCTGGAATCGTAATTGATTCCACAAGACGGGAATCGAGCACAGGCCTGCGCCCAAGACGAAATTCAGCGGTAACTTCTTATTTCAGCGCGATCACTCCGATTGTAGCGCAGCTCGCTCGCACTAAAATCTGCACGTACTCAGAACCCGTACTAAAATCCTAGCTTCTGTGAAATATCGCGGCATCATCCGACGAAAGAGACCAAAACAGATGGATACTCAGAATTTGAAATTTTTTCGAAGAACATGGCTATTCCATGACCCGTATCTCACGACTGACCAATAAAGTACTACAACACCGACAAAACAGTAAGAGCCGACAGCCGCCTCGCAAAGACCAAAGCAAAAAAAAAATGCATGACAAAAAAATGACATGACAATGACAAATGAAAAATGACACAAAAATGCAAAAAATGCACTTACTGACGATCATCTGTTGTGACAGGTGTAAGGCGCCACAAGCTCATCAAGGACTCAAATTCGGACGAAATGGACTAACAGGAACACCATAACCAATGACCTGGTCTGTTCTGTGGTAGAGCGACCTTACTATCCAGCTGGACACTGAGCAAGCGCCACCCACAAAGCCAGCCTAAAAAATCAGTGTGAGACCCAGAACTTTGTGTGCCAGACCGTACGCAATCTTTGGAGAGACGAAATGAAGTGTGCGTCTGTGCCTCAATGAACACCTCCATGATAACCGAATGAGACCACAGGGATCTTACGTCGTGAACATTCGCTCGCCAATCCCCCAGACCCGCCCCTCACCAGCTGTGTCCCCATCAGCATTCTGCGCAGAGGGACGGACGGGGCTAGCAGAAACATTCCTAAAGCTTTCCTTCCCAGAAAACGCAGCCCGCAGATTAAAACCGGCGCTGATAGAGCTTCCCACGGCCGTGTTAATGAGCTTTCCAGATAGCACGAGCAAAAGCTATCGACGACGGCAACGGCCAGGTCCGACTCGCCAGTCCGGTGCGCTTTAACTACGCGCAATCTGTCCGCTCACCGCCCCGACCACCGCGCCACCGCCAGATGGGAGCACTTGCGTCGAACTACAGCGAACTTTTCAACCGCCACTTAGTACAGTTCTGGCCGTCGCGGTGTGGTTGGGAGAGTGTGTGACCCCCCCCCCCTCTACACCGAACTGATGATTGCAAGTATCGAAAACTCGTGCCATAACTTTCATTTAATATTTTGTTCTGTATACCAGCCAACGAGTTACCAACAGCGAACAATTCGGTTCTTATACTAGAGCTTAAGGACTTTCTCTACCAGCTGTCTAAATCCGGCTTGGCCTGGCCTGGCCTGGCCTGGCCTGGTCTGGTCTGGTCTGGTCTGGTCTGGTCTGGCCAGGTCTGGTCTGGTCTGGTCAGGTCAGGTCAGGTCAGGTCAGGTCAGGTTTGATGTGATCTGGGTCTGGGTTTGCACCCCATCCGACCCAAGTTGGGCGCCAGAACCTCAGTGAGCGGACGGCACAACTCTAGCCCAGCAAGCGCTTCGGTGCGCCTTTCGCAATCACCAATCCGGTTTACGGCTCGGGTAATTCGCAATGCGTGATGATGCATACGTGCCACTCATGTCCGTGGCGCGACGGCCGCTGCCAGCACCTGACCCCCGGCGCACAGGGCCGTCGGCCGGGGGAGGGCGGCCGGCGGACGGTGCCCGGGTACAGCGGCCTGCCCGTGTTGGCCGATGTGGACCGCGTCAGCGACAACCGCCCAGCTCTGCCCCGCGCTGCATGACCTACAGCAGTCGATGCGCCCTAAAACCGCCCAGCTCTGCCCCGCGCTGCATTACCTACAGCAGTCGATGCGCCCTAAAACCGCCCAGCTCTGCCCCGCAGACGGCCGGGCGGCGCGCGAACGCACGGAGCACGTCCCTCCAGGCAACCGGGTGGCACCGGCGGGACTCCCGGCGACGTCGCTGCAGCATGCGCGGGGCAGCTGACGGCGGCCTAGCGATCGTGGACCTGTGTCTCAGCGTGTGGACATGCACCCAAACATATTCAACCTAGCATTACCAAAACCTGCCAGTACGTACCAAGTCGTCCGCCACCATCAGCTTCCGGAGGTCGAAAAACGCCCAGATGGGCAGGAACATGAAGAAGGCGAGTCGGCCGAGCACGTGCAGCAGCCGCAGGTGGTGGATGCCAGTGTCCTTCATCGCCTGCACAAGCGAAACAGGCAGCGTCATGCACACAGTCCTCCATCGGGCCAGAATCGTCCGGGACTGCTAACGCTTCAAAGAAGAGCAGGTCGCGTATGATAGCGCTCACGGACACCAGAGACAGATGGGCTTGACCGTGGCCTGTGTGAGCACAACATGGATTTAGAATGTGTCACGTATACAACAAGGTAAGCATATGTTCAATTTTGGGCAGGTCATATGGGTTGCAGCCAATGCAGTGAAAAACAGGGACACACAAAAATAGTTTCCCTTAACCAGTAGTATGGGTGGAACTGTCAATCATAACCTTTTCTGTGAAAATCAGCATAGCACCCATGGTCAAAATGCTTAGATTCTCTAAATGACAAGAAATCTTCTGTTACATCCTTGGAATTTGTTCCTGGACTCAGCACCATTGACATCACACAGCAACATGTACAGGATTACCAGCACACAAGTCACACATACTGACAAGAGGTATTCACCAGTTCCCACCACAGCAGCCTCACCTTCTTGGAATACAGCTGCATCACGGAGTATACAGCAATGGACGTCAAGGCACTGATCAGGCCTGTTATGTCAAATGCCAGCTCAGTGATGGTTGCTATTGCAACTCCAACTATAATTGGAATTAGTGAGCAGTAAACCTGAAAGAAGCATTTGATCAAGGATGACATCTGTACTTCCTGTTATATGACCACTGCCTGACCATGTGAGGGAACTCACACCAGGCAACCAATATTTTCACCCAGTAGGTGGTACATTAGAGGCTCAATGCTGCCTCATTGCCCGGAAGTTCCTGCACAGAACCCACAATGGTAAGCCACAGTTAGCCTGCTACAAAGTGAGACAAGCAAGTACAAAAAGGCTTGACAGGATGCAAGCCAAGCTCAGGTCTCAGAATGAATGCCACAGCTATTGTAACAGTTCATCTCAATATTTTTAAAAGGATTGAGCAGTTAGCTTCTGAAAATGGATTTAAACTACAGCATATGAAAGCCTGAAATGATCTAATTGTGGCTTGGCATCACATTGAGCAGTGTTGATTAATGCATCATTTTGTTGGTGTTGAACTGCAACATCCAACAGGAACTGCACAATCCAATCAATATTTCCAAAAAAAACAAACTATCTGATGCTGGAAAAACTTTCACAAAAAGTACAGCAACAGACCAGATGTTCATTCCTATTCATATACATAACATTATGTACCATCAATACAAATGTTAACAAGACAAGGAAAAACACTTTGAAAACAGATACATACACACAAATGCTATTAAATTAAATACTTAAGGTGCTGCAATTTCACAACTCAACAGCTTTAAAGCATTTTCACTTCCAAGGAAAGAAGAAATTGACTTCCAGGTCAATGCAGAGCTTAACATGCTGCCATGTGTACTTACAGTAAATGGTTGCTGCTGTCCAAGGAGAATCCTTCCAAAAAACACAGTGAAGAGAGGCATTGTTGCTTTGACTGAAACAAGCCCATCATAGCATCAATACACTGTCTGGTCATCTAAGCTTGTGCAGGGTTTATGACTGTGGTTGGTGATGTGCATGGCCATTCACAAATTATGTTCCACAATTTTTGCAATAATTCAAGCTCCTTTCCTCCCAGCCACACAATGGCTGTCCTGGAAAAACACTCCCAGTTATGTCAGATTGACTACAACACCCCAAAAACACAACATTTAACTCATAATTGAACTGGAGGTGCAAAACAAAGAATGGTGTGTTGCTTATTTGTCAGAGGAAACCAACTGTATCGGCCTTTTAAAGTTTTAATACCATAAAAAAGACAAGCATAATAGCGACAACACTTCACTGTAGCAATATGGTTCATCCTTGCCCCTTGTTATGTTTTGGTTATGCTCCTATCAAAACCTTCCATTTCCTGTGAAACAGAGTATGTGGATGGCCTCTAATGATTCCATATTAGCCTCATTCTGTACTTGACCTTATATAGGAAGGTTACATACCTGGGTGTAACAATCAAGGAGGGGAGGGGAGCTGGATGGAACAAGTTGAGCACCCCTCCCTCTCCACTCTAGTTTGGTCCCTCAATCTTAGTTGACCCTACCCCCAATCTCAAAGATGGTTACATCTATAGATCCACAGGTAGCCTTCTGAAAGGTGATGGTGTGCAAGCAAGTTCAGCCCCTCCTATAACAGGGGACACATATGTGAAAAGGGTGAGAGGAAACAGTATTCCCCAGAAAACTCATCTAAGGTAACCTTGGTATGGCTTTGCTGTTTATTTAGTCATTTCCATGTGGCTATCTGCAAGATCAAGTTAAAGAAAAATCAACAGCATTTTTAATGATCTTAACCCATTTGGGGATCATCTTCAGTCTTTCTATCTATGACACAAATTGCGAACAAAAGTTAAATACTTAAAATGTTGCATCATGATTTTATTGTAATGGATGTTGTTTTTCTAATCATGTGTTTTGGTTCAGCCTCGAGTGAGGTCTACATCATGCTTGATGATGTTGCTCCAACAGTTTTAAACCCACTTGGATTATGATAATTAGGAAGATGCTGATAATGAGCCTTATAGTACTATACATAACTTACATCATGCTTAGATAGGATAATGGTGCTGTAACAGGTCAAACTGATGGATTAAGTTTTTGCAGCATGTCACACTCAGGTATGGCCTCAGTGATGTCAAAGTCTAGAAAAATAACAGCAGTACCTGGAGGCTGGGGGAGAATTCTTGCCAATGTGAGAGGGAAGTGTTGAAACATAACTATGGAGGAGTTTCAAATAATAACAAAAATGTTTTCATCAAGATAATTAGACCAAACCTTTCAATACATAGATTTTTGGAAGAGCTCATGCTGAGCAATGTTAGTGTGGGCCTTGCCTATATCATAATTTGTTCAGAGCATTAGCAAGGAATTTCTCACATAGATGACACTAGAAATAGTCCTATTCTTCAGAGAAAAAACTGGAGAATGGAGAAAAAGATTGGCTGACATTTTGGCAGCCTGCTTTTATCAAAACAATAGCACAAATGAATTTAAAATTCCTTGCTAATGATCCTACCTAATTTTTCAGGGTTTTTTTAAAGCAGCAAGTCAGTTTTTAACAGAATACCACTATTTTGTGGATTAAACAAAGAGCAATTACTAGCATTACCATAATACAATGCATATAAAAATTGAATATATGGCACATGCCTACAACCATCAAATTACAATTATGGTCATCTGTTTAGCACAGCCTACACTGCCCTCTGTTGTCACGTCACCCTTCAGCACAGTCTGAATCACAGGGCATCAGTACCCATTAAGGATATGAAATCACCTAGCCACATGCAAAGCACAAGCCAATAGGATCATATGAGCTGATAGGATTACATAATATTTGTGGCCACATCACAGATTTTGAAGCAAAATACTAAATGGTTATTGAAATAGAAACAATACATTCAAAACCTGTGTTAACTCTACAGAACACATCCAAAAAGGAATACACATAACTGACCATTACAATGTAACATACTTCCAAAAATTGTTATGAAAAACTCTCCCAACCTTTCTACATCCCATTTACCCCTGTCATATCCCTAGATGAGCATTAACAGAAAACACATAAGTAATCATATCAAGACTCACCTGTGTGTGCATATGACAATGGCACTTTCCATATGCTGATATGGGCAAATAAAACAGCCAGGAACTTCCCTACTGCCAAGGGAATAATGCACATAGCATAATAGTCCCAACTTATATCAGTAGGTCTTCTAATGGAAAGACAGCGAAGCATTGGCTCTGAGTACACAGTTATTGATAATAACTGCACTATGCTCAGAGTCATGGGATATGGAAAATAGTTCAGCAAAGTTTTTCCAACTATATTGTTTGCAGAGCTTATTGCATACCACAGTATGCAAAGAAACACCAGTCTTGCAAACTCTTTCTTCTCCCCAGCTGTTAGGCTCATTGCTGCTGCTCTTCACACAGCTCAGAGTTTCTTGAAACTGCTGACACCTGAACACATGCAGAAGTCCACTATTTCAGCACAACAGCGAGCTATCTAAATACTTCTGATGAAAGATCATAACATTTTTCTTTCCACACCACCACATTTTGGAGACACTTCTTGAGATGCGTTGAGGCCCAAAGCTAATTGCTTAGCATTCGTGAAAGCAACTGACATGAATGCATGTCCCGGGCATCACGTCAATATCAATTTGTTAACTTCTTGCAACTTGCATTTTCCTGTTAACCTTCCGATAAATTGTCACACTGCTGTTTTAGAAAAGTCGCAGGAAGGCAGAATCAACAGCGCTAAAGTCACTTCCTAGCCATGCTAGGTATCAGGACGCGAGATACCCGCCCACTATCTTGACACCGCCGCGAGAAGCCGAAGGCCGCAGGCAGCCACTATACGTGTCCTCCGCCACCCGACAGCTGGCGGGATCCGGCCTCGCAGCCAATTCGCAGTCTCCCCACAGATATTTGGTAGCATCCAAGGCTGCTAGAGTAAAGTAGGTGCCATTTAAGGCTACTGGGTACCATCCTAGATATATCGGGAGATAATTTCTTTTATATTAAATTAGGCTTCTTTGTGCTAAAATGTTCGTTTTTCTAGTTTATGTGAATATGTGTATTTTTGAGAATTTCCATGTTATGGAAAGTTAAACCCATTTAACCTCCGATTCTATCTATTTTTGCCAGTTTTTTTTTTACTGCCTGCAAAGACAGGGCGGTAGGGTGGCAGAAAGCAGTTCAACCCTCCGTCGGCAAGCAAGGAGCAAGTGGTTTTTGCCCCTCCCTAAAAAATATTTGTGAGGCTCTTTTTGACCAGCAAACGCTCACGTGGATTATTGAAAATCCGATAGAGAAGACTCTTCCCAGCCAGCAGGTTCAATTTGGACCCATATGGGTCTCAGTCGGACAGTCATACGGAGCGCACCTGGGGTGCCCGCTTTGGTCCCATGTGGGCATGTCATGGAAACACCTGGTCTCATATGGGTGACCCTTGTTGGGCCCATGTGGGGCCTACCTGGGGCACACATGGGGCTCATCCAACGTGTACAACCGGGATCCATTTGGGTCCGAGATGGGCAAACGAAAAGGGTCCACCTGGGTTTGCTACCTCGGGCCTATGTGGGCATGTCATGGGCAACCAAGTGGTCCCACATGGAAGCCCATGTGGGGCCCTTGTGGGGCTTAGCTGGGACACACATGGGGGTCCAAGGGCTTGTATGCGTGAAGTGAAATATAACAGTTATCTTGAATGATCTTAAGCACGTCAATGCTGGCAACACAAACTTGCTTGACAAAAACGCGCACGTAAAAATTCCAAGCATCAGCGACGCAACATCGATTGTTCACATGCAAAGCACTCCTATGGGGACGTTTCAGAGAAAATTATTACCCGGTTATCGAGTTATTCACACCCGCGTAAGAGGCATGACCATCATTTTGGTTGCTAGGTAACTTAGACATTATTTTGGTCGTTAGTTTACGTAGGACAACCATGTTTTCCTAGAGCCTGGTGCAGCCGATTGACATGACGCAATACTTGTTCCTCGTCTCGTTGTATAGTAGGCCAACATAAATTGGTGTGTATAAACTGACCAGTCCTAACACAGTCTAAACCCGTACATTCGCAGCCCTCAGCTGAATGTAAACACAAAAAACACCCACGTAATGGCTGCCGCCATCGCCGCGTTCACAAGCTGCTGTCAGCGCTGACAAGCGACATCCTCGAAAAGTCATTGGCTAGAACTAACGATCCGTGTTGGTCCGGGCCTGAGGGCCTGTCTCCCAAGTAGGGACAAGGCCGGGCCCGCGATTTATATTGGTCGGAGCCCTTACAGCAATGCGGGGTTCCTTTGTCGGACAAGGACCCACAGTGGTCAAAAGAGTGCACTATGGCAACGAGAGGCCTCGAGTCAGCCAGGGAAACATTTGCTGAGCAGCGGCGGGGATGGAACCCCGAATGCCAGAGTGCCTCTTGCGTTGGTCGGAGCCCTCTGGCAATGAAAGCGAACCTGAGAATTCAAAGACCCTCCATTGTTTCATTGTTTCAACTCTCGACACGTGTGCGTAAAGGCCCCAAAACTGAGCAGTAGTCTTCCTTCTCAATTCAAGTCATCGGCCCATTAATCCGCATTGTTTTCCATGTGCCAGTTATTCGACCACCTGCGGCGATCAGGGGTCTTGTTGAGCCAATGAGAGTTCTTGCATCGATCCGGTGCCAGCTGCGCGAGTCAGGAGGCGTCTCGCGTCAGGGAGGGAACCAATGTAACACTATACATCCTTCTCAAAGCCTCCGGATCGACCAGGAGATCCCCCCCCCCCGTGTCGCTAGAAAGGCAGCCGAAAACACCCCGCGCTGGGACATAATGGCCCTTCAGCCCTTGACCGAGAATCGACAAGTGGACTAGGGAATCAGGTGGCGGCTGCGCGCTCGCAATTTCAGAAGCAAGAACAGCAACGACCGGTTTTGCAGTTTACGTAACACCGAACCACTGCAACCACTGCAACCACTTCCTCTTGTTTTAACCACTGCAACTGACACGAGACAGTGGTTGCCGTGCGCGCGAGAACGACTGTCGTTAAAAAGTGCTCCGAATGTCTTTTAAAGTAGATCCGCGCTGTTCAAACATTAGACTGAGTCGTATGTTTTCCATTATCTCTAAAACAATTTTGTGGTTGCCCTTAGGGTGAATCAATCGTTACATCAGCACGAAAATAGAGATCGAGCCTTAATTCTTCCATTGTGACCACCATATTTTCTTCCACCCGATGGCCAGCGCTTAGTGTAAAGTGTTTAACAAGAATCGACGTATACCATCGCCACGGAGGCACCTGTAGCCAGCACAACCATATTGACAAGGTGGTAACGGCCGCATTGCCATTTGACGAGGGGGAAAATAATCCCCAAGTTTGTCCTCCGCGATATGAGACACAACGCTTGGTAACCGATCCCTGAAGTCACCAAACTTGATTGTCTTCTCATGATCCTGCATGCCAGCTCAGCCACAGCTGAATGCAGTTTCAGCACGGGACAGGGATTGAAAACCTGCTTTGCTTAATACGCGCCCGGGTGGCCGTTTGGGTACACTTCGCTCGGATGATGGAGTCAATTTGACCCCTGAGATTTCAGGAACTGAGAGAGCTAGAGACATAAATTCACCCGGTATGTTGGACTGTACGTGAACTAACTTTGGTCGACTTTTGAGGTTTATGGGCCATGAAAATCGGGTCAAATAAGTTCAAGCAGGGTCAAACTCTACGCTGGTCTCCAAAGTGTCCCGGACATAGACACCTGTTCTAAGCAAAAGTTCCCATGCCCATTCAAGGTCAGAGATCGTGTTTAACCTTGCGAAGGTCATGGAGACCAGCATCATCAAGATTGTATAGAGTTTTGCATTTGAATAAGTGACAAAGATTTCGTTTGGCAGTATCATCCTACAAACAAAATGTTGACCTGGGTCATTTTAGGCCAGCGACCTATTCCGACCTTCAAGAAGTCCATGGAAGATGTCTAAAGCGGCTTCTGTCATCAACAAATTCAAAATGAGCATCAAAAACTTCCCCATAAAGCAAACCCCACAGAAATAAAAGAGGTTGGTTTTAACCCTGGCGTGACCTTCATACCTGGCTGTAGTTCAATGAATTTGTTTATTTAATTGTTGTGTTGCCTAAAAGTATCTCAGAATGTATGGTCTCGTCTTGGCCTGACTTGACCTGCTATGAGTCAGTGACCTCATAAGGTACATTGATTTATGTACCAAACGATCCGCCATTCAATTGTTTACAGCGATGGAAAATTTGGCGCGGCTACACTGCGCCGTCCGGAAACCATTTCGGAAAAACCCTCGGGGGTCAGTTTGAACCCCACCTGAATGCATGTCTGGCGACGCAGACGAAGACCAACGCAACATCAGTCTCACGTGCATCGCCTTCGACTGGATCGAGTGGATCCAGCTCACACCCAGGGCGATAGAACGCTCTCACGTCCCAGTCGCTGTTGTCAGTCTAGACGGGTCACGCCATAGAACGGTTAGCTGCGCTTATGGCTGCACCTTAAACGGTGTGGACCTGAAAGAAGTATGTGAACTCTGTGATTCCCAAGCAGTCTGCCGTTAAAATGCTTTTATCGCCGCCGTATTTAATTGCCAGATTAACCCTCTGCCATTATCTTTCATTCAGAAGACATAAGCTTTTGGAATCAGGCGTCCAGGCCACAGCACAGCTGTGTGGTAGATTTCATGAAATACCACCCTGCAGATATATCTCCACTGTACAGAAACACGTACATGTCCTGATACATTTCATGGGGTAATGGCCTAAGTGAAAATATGCACTGTGTTGGCAGAAGCTACGAAGCTGGAAGGAATCCGTCGACATGGGGCAGTGGACGCCGGCTGCAACGTTCGGAGGGAAAAGGTACGATGGCCATTCAGATTAGTCCCTTCCAGTCAACGCCCACAGAGACGTTGCTAAATTTTCAGAGCTGTAAGTCTCAGCTACGGTTCTCAGTTGTGGGTACCCTGTCCCATCCCCGATTCCCCCGCCCTTATCCCTTTCGGTGGTGTAGCGCATGCCACGTGGGGAATTCGCATGGCAATGCCAGTTACGAAAGTGCCAGTTATAAAACGGATATTGTCTTATCCCCTTTTTACTGAAGCATTGCTGTGGTGATTTTATGACTTCGTCCCATCCCTATTAAGAACTGGTGGCGCCACCTCTGCCTATGAGACTATGCTGAGACAGGATTCCAGAAAGCAGACACAGTCGGGTTTACATGATCTAAGCTACGCTCAAAATCATCACTGCCAATTTGAGCTTTGTTTCAGAGCGGCTAATGCACTGCATAACCTTAAACAATCATTCAAACAGTGAATGACAGTTGAGAGTAATCCGATGCAATTGTCATATGATCGTACTCAGCTCAACTAGCCCTGTGATAGTGTAGTTTTTTGTTCAGCAAGGGGTTCTGTGTCCCCCAGACAAAGCTGTAGTTTCCTTTTGAGATGGGGGTGAATGTAGCCCCATCCCCAACTTGGGCTCTATCCAGTCCCTCAACTTCGAGAAGAAAGTTAACCAAATCCGGGAACGAGCCCGTTTGTCAGTTGGTTAAGCCATTTTTCAGCCCCCAGCCACCAACACATTTTTCAAAACTACGCCCTGCTTCAAAATCTGAAAATAAAATGGGCCAAACCTGGTAAGAGTCTGTTTTAAGTACGTTCAGGAGGTTAGTTCAGTTTTTTTGCCGCCTCCCACCCCTCCGCCTACAAACATCTACCTCATGTGTATTTTGCAAAATTGTACCTCTTAAGCCCCACATCTACCGATAAACATGGTCTTTCAACCACCTGAAAATATCATCATACCCAACTTAGGACAGGATCATACATTCGCGCTCATATCTCTATCACCCC